CAGCAGAACCCTCAATATTTTCCAGAGACTCAAAGGAATGGGCACTCGCGATTGTAAGAACCCTCTTCTTCTCAGACTGTTGTGATAAACAAAACTTCTTATTGTAAAAGAAGCTTACGCCTTCTATGAGCCTAATTCAAATATCCCCCAGTGTGTGTTTGTTCAGATCAGCCATAATCTGGTCACGCAGAGCCAGGCGTCCTCAGAAAGGCTGTCCGTGGTTCTGGTTAGATGAACTATTTGCCAAAGACGTAGACAGCCTCGCTGTCTAGAACAGACCATGTTAGCTTTTGACAAAACAACCCAGTGGATAAAGAGCACATTCTGCAAACTGCCTCTGAGCATCCCCCAGATTTGAGAGAATGTTGTGAGGGTAATGTTACACCTCTCCTGCTAGAATTAAGAAAGGGAGCCTTTTACTTGGTCTGAACTTTCTTCAAGAAATTCACCAAAGCTAATGCATCTGGCATGATTCCATCTGGAGAATGTGTGGCTCTTCCATCATTGCCCAGACCATTGCTCTGCTTGAAGCCCAGAAGCTTCTCTGTAAACACGACAGGGAAACTCACAAGTGGGGTAACAAAGCTCAATGCTGAAATTGGGATGGGGGGGGACAAATGCCAAAATAAATACCGACGACCAGAGAAGGCAGTCGATAAGGACCAGTCGTCCAGAGGAAATGAGAGAGAAAATGAACACCCATTCCTGACTCTGGCTCTGCTGTCTCTTTATAACCATGTGTAAATTACCTCACCTTCCTGGGAGATGGATAGGTAATGCTTTCTCTAAGTGGAGGCAAGGAAGGTTGATGGTTGTGAGGGAAAACAGGATTCTCCTCCCTCTCTGGGCATGTGTCCATGCTGCCCCAGAGAGAAATGTCTTTAGCAAGCTGACATCATTCACCATAATCATGACCCTCTGGTCTCTTGGGAAGAATACACTGGATCTGTAATCTTTAGTTCTTCTTCTAACTCTATCACTTACTTTCAACATCATCTTCAGTGAATCATTTAACTTCTCTGGGCTGCAAATACTTTGTTGACTGCAAATGCCCTTTTGATTCTTCAAACACTCAGAAAAGGAGGATAAAGAATGGCCATCTATTGCTTTGCGCATTCACATGCATAAGTGACACTCTGAATCAGAAAGCCAATCCTCCCTGTCTCCATGTTTAAGCCCTGCCCAGCTCAGATGTGGTGATTGAATCATGCCTTCTACAAGAGGTGGGGCAAGGCATATGAACCTCCTGAGTCATGGGGAAGGTGGGTCATGCTCAATAGCCTTTCATTGTGAATGAGTAGTGGCTAGCTGCTACCCAGGCTCCTCCTAGGCTTCTCAACCCTCTGGTCTTTTCCCTGACCTTGATTGAAAAAGAGACTTAGGCCGGACGTGGTGGCTCACACCTGTAATCATTCTGGGAGGCCACGGCGGGTGGATTGCTCAAGGTCAGCAGTTTGAGACCAGCCTGAGCAAGAGCAAGACCCTGTCTCTACTAAAAATAGAAAGAAATTAATTGGCCGACTAAAATACGTATAGAAAAAATTAGCTGGGCATGGTGGCACATGCCTGTAGTCCCAGCTACTCAGGAGGCTGAGGCAGAAGGATCACTTGAGCCCAGGAGTTTGAGGTTGCTGTGAGCTAGGCTGACACCATGACACTCTAGCCCGGGCAACACAGTGAGACTCTGCCTCAAAAAAACAAAAAGAAAAAGAGACTTCAAAATGTTCCAATTATATAAATCTGGTTTTTAAGAAAATGATCAATGCTATATCATAATGAAAATCCATTTTACTTTGTATTTTTATTGTCTTGGTGGAGGTGTAGAAGGACAGTTATGGCCACTGACAATTTAGAAAGAAGAACATACTTCATATTAAAGGATTAACAGAGCTCACAGAAGGCCAGTGAGAAATAAAGTGAAAGTATTGCTGAGATTGTAATGCAAACTAAGGGAAAAGTACAATTTGATATTGCCCCAAAAGGGCGATTGACCTTCCCATGTTTTAGGGAACACATCTGTGGGGAAGGTGAGCAGCTACACCTATAGAGCCAGCCCCTTTGGCACTTGCAGCAATGCCAACATAGTATCGAGGAAACGGATGCTTCTCTTAGTCAGGCATGTAATCACATATTTCCAGATGAGAGGCACAAAAAATGATTAAAGGTTTGGGAAATTGGATCTATATAGAAAGACTAATGGAACTGGCTTCCTATATCCTCAAGAAGAAGAAAAAACTGGCGAGAAGAGAAAGCTCTCAGCCACCCTATGTGTGAAAGAATGCATGCAACCAGTGATGCTGAGAATTAACTGAAGGCAAAAGCAAGGTCATTAAAGAACAGCCAGATGTACTTTACTTACACTTGAACAAGATTTTTAAAGCTTTGAGTTTTTAAGCTAGAGAGATCCTTGGAACCATCTCTCACTTCAAAAGAGGTCTCGGGGTCTCCCTGAAAACATTGGAGCAAAGTAGTCCTTAGCTTCCTTTCTCGGTTGGTTTGATTAGCAGCAAAAGGAAGGTCAGAGGAATTTTAGGGGTGCCTATCAGAACTATAGTTTTATGATCTTGACAATCATTAGGCTCCACAAGTTGGCTGTTATCATTTCTGATCAATAGTCTGATCAGAAATAATAGTGACCTCAGCACAGCTACCTCAATAACTATCCAAATATTGGCACAGGTTTACATCATTTTCCCAAATAACAGAGCTGCCCTGAGCCCATCAGCCCTATAAAATAAGTTCCTTAGCATGACTTTCTTCTTTCTGTAAATGATATCACTTTTGTGTAGTCACCCAGGTGTGACACCTCAGAGTCATTTTAGACTAATCTGTCTCCCTCGCTGCTTGTTGGCAGTCTGTCAACAATGCCTATTGAGTATTCCTTCTGTCTTTCTCATCTCATTTCCATCCCCTTCTTTCCATTCCCAGGGCAAAAATTCTAGTTCAGGCAGTTATTAACACACACCAGTAAGGAAACTACTGAGATGACTTAATTCCTGCTTCCTAAATTCAAGTTCTTTCTCAGTGTTTCTCAAAGGGTAGCCAAAGATCACCTTCAAGAAAATTACCAAAAGAGCTTGCTAACCCTTTGCACTCGGTTGTCCAGTGTGGATAATGTCGAGTGGATAATGAGAAAAAAGCAAGTGAGTGCAAAGGGTTAAAAATGCAGAATTCTCAAGCCCTAGACTTCTGTCTCAGAGTATCTGGGGTTGGTACTCAGGAATCTGAATTTTTAATAAGCTCTCTCCCATTATTTGTGTAAACTAAAATTTTGGAAACCCTTTTCTACCAATTCAATCCACCTGGAGATTGTTCATTCATTTTTACGACAACACATGCCAGGAATAGTTCCTCTTTTCATCAAGCTATTCCATCCATTTAAAAGTCTTAGGTTTGTTCATAAATAGTAGAAAGGATAAATAAAATGTGATATATTCGTACTGTGGGTTACAATATAGCACTGAAAAGAACCAACACCCACTGCTACACACAACAACATGAATAACTCACAGTGAATGAGCAAAAGGAACTGGACATAAAAGAGTACATGTAGTATTTATATGAAGTTTAAGGATAAGCTACTCTTAATAAATGGTAATAGATGTGAGAACAGTGATTCTTGAAGGATAATATCAACTGGGTAGAGACACAAAGTGCACCTTCTGGAGTATTAGAATTGTTTTATCATTTAATTCAGAGGAACTGAGGTGTGTGTATGTGTGCATATGTGTGTGTAAGTAAAAAGTTATTGAGGATTATACACTTTATTTTAATCATACCTCAATTAATATAATAAAAATAAATAAGTGTAGTTACAGGCTTCTGGCGGTGGGGAGAGGTGAGAGAAATAAAGAAAACCTTGAGTGATTCACCATTGACTGAAGAGTAAAATCCAAACTCCTTAGCATGTTTTTTAAGAGCTTCTAGAATATCTCCATATCCTAACTTTTCAAACCAAAGTCCTACCACTTCTCTTCTCCAATCAGACTTGCCCCCTTCATTTTACTGAATAGAACTCAAGGTTTTTTACCTTCCTTTTCTTATTCTCTTTCTTCTTCTTTAGTGATCACACCTCACCCACCTAGAATGTTATTCTATTCTTTCTCCATCCAATTCTTAACTATACTTGAAGGTCCAATATTTTTCCTCAGAACTCCTGTTCCTAACTACTGGTGGCTTGAATTGTATTCCTGAAAAAGATACGTTGAAGTCCTAACTCCTGGTACCTTATTTAAAAATAGGATAATTTTCAAATGTAATTAGTTAAGTTGAGATGCTTGGATTAGGAGGACACTTAGTCCAATGACTATCGTCCTTATAAGGCCATGTGAGGACACACAGACACACAGAGAGCAAACTACCACGTGAAGATGGACACAGAGATTGGAGTGATGTGTCCACAAGCCAAGGAATGCCAAGGACAGCCAGCAACCGCCAGAAGCCAGGAAAGAGGCAAGCAAAGACTCTCCTCTGTAGCCTTCGGAGGGAACCCTGTGATAACTTGATTTTGGACTTCCAGCCTCCAGAACTCTGGGAGAAGAAATTTCATTTGTTTTAAGCCACCCAGTTTGTGATAGTTTCTTATGGCAGTTCTTGGAAACTAATACAGCACTCCTACTCATAGTCACCTCTCTTACTTCCTGGCTTCTATAGCTTCTAAATTCTAAAGAAGTCACTTGGCCTCTATGGTAGCCAGTCTCCCACGTGGCCCCCAATAATCCCTACCTCATGGTGTTAATGCCCTTGTAGACCCCCTCCCACATGAGTAGGACACACCAATGTTACTGATAGTGTATTATGGAAATGATGCCTTGTTTCTAAGGGTAGGTCATAAAAGACACTGCAGTTTCTGCTTTGCTCTGGACCATTCACTCTAGGGGAAGCCAGGTGCCATGTCACTATAACATTCAGGAGGCCCTATGAGGAAGTCCACTTGGTAAGAAACTGAGACCTCCTGCCAACAACCATCATAAACCCACCATTTATGTGAGTAAACCAACCTGCAAGTGGCTCCTCCAACCCCAGGTACGCCTTCAGATGACTGTAACTCGAGCTAAGATCTTGACACTGCAACCTTATGAAAGGTCTTTAATCGATTAATCCACTCCTGGATTCCAGATGCACAGCAACTATGTGAGATAACAAATGTCTGTTGTTTTAAGACAGTAGGTTATGGGGGCATTTTTCTGCAACAACAGATGAATAATAAACCCCTATTTTCATATAGTGTCTTCTATTTCCTAACTCTTTGGGGAAGATCTTGACTTCTCAACTAGATTGCAAACTCCTTGAGAGCAGAGATCATTTTGGGGGTCTCATTGCATCCTCAATCATGCCTCATAATTTATTATATATGCAAAACATGCCTGGTGAACATGTGTGAATGAGTGAATGAGCACAGTATATCCCAGCAGATAAGCTTTCAGAATACTGGGTTGAACCAAGAAGTATGTCTCTTATTTAAAAATCAAGTTTTTGGAAACTTCTCTCATGAGGAAACATCGAGAAAAGCTGCATTTGAAGCCATTTTGAAGCCATTCTTCTTTCTCTCCCACCCATTTCCCTGCCTCTCTGGGGTTGCTTGTTGGCTTCTGAAATGTAGGTCACCTCCAGTGGCATGACCTAATTAGAAGATGTAATTTAACAGAAAAAATAAAATAAAAGAAATCCTCTGAGATGGCAGATTTGAAACAAAGAAGAGTGCTTCTTTCATTTTGTGTTTTTGGCAATAGCTTCCCTACTAGAATTATCCCTTTTCCACCCCCAAGCTATACAATTTGTAAGGCACAAAGAAGAAAGGTAGAAATGCATTCAGGAGCAGCTGGAAATGATGAATTTATAATGATCACAGAAGGAGTAAGAGAAAGCTTTCCTTCACTAAAGTGGCTCTGTGGGGCTGTTTCTTGGCAGCACGGTGAGCGAGACTTCGGAGGAAAAAGTACTGATGATGCTGATTCAAAGTACGACACACCTTAAGGTTGGGAAGAGACCTATGTCCCATCTAATCTGACCTCCGAGGAAATGCCATGATACCTGTTGTGTTTGTGACACAAGAAAACCCCAGACACAAATCTTCTAAACAATAGAGTTTTTTTTCTTCATATACTTGGCACTCTTGTTTTAGAAAAGAGAAAGAGAATAGTAAGCAAGCTGAACAGATTTTAGGGGTTCGTTGCAAAATTCACTCCTGGGGATATCATCAAGCCAGGTTGGATTTAATCCATCTCCTTCACCTCTTCCTCTCAGAGGTATGATGCTTGGTTCCTGTAAAATGCTTAAGTGCTTTCTGAATCACCCCAGAAACACTTAACTACACTGATCATAATTGAATGCATTATTAATTCTTTCTTTGAAAACTGATATTCCATGTTTGTCATTATGCAATTCCATTTATCCATCCAACAAAACTCAAAAGCCCACTATATGCATAACCTGCCTGGTGTCTGACATTTATTAAGGTAAAAACTATTATATTATTCCCATTTTACAGAGGCACCGGAAGACTAAGTACTTTCTTAAAGCCAAACAGCTAATAAAAGGTGAAGCCAGGAAACAAACCAAGCAATTTAACTATAGAAATTGTGTTCTTAATTCTTTACATTACTTTACATGGACTATAAAACTATATTTTCCATCTACTTGAGATCAATGCAGTGGGCATTTACTGTATAGAAGGCATATCTGTTTCTGTCTACAAGAAACTTCCTAATTGCAGCAGAGAAGCCCAGTCATTTTCAGACTTCTTTTTATCCCAACACACCCATGGGAGATATCATGCTGCCACTGATATCCAAAGTTCATGCACCAGTGACTCTCCATGTTGCTGAACAGGGGATTTTGATATGCCCTCCTGGCACCCACCTCCTCTTAGAATCACTATCCTATCATTGAGAAGTTCCACTTCCAGCTTGACAGCATGAGGAGCTCTGCAGACTCCTCCTCATTGAAACTGGTGAAAATTATTTTTCAAAACAATTTAAGGTCTCTAGAAATAATCCTAGTGGCATATAGCAAATGAAAAACCATTTATTTATTTATTTATTTTTTTCATTAGACAATTAAATTTTTATTGAAGCTTAATGTGGTACAGAAATACATTTCAACTGATTTAAGTCCAACACCAATGAAAGGAGAAATTATGGCACCAAAACTTTCCCTTCTCTACCATACTAAAGATTAATTTAGATTGCTATTCAAACTAGTTCTCATTTTTCTAGGCTGTGTTCTACACAAATGTGCAGGTTTTCAATATTATAATTCTTAAATCTATTAGGAAAAAAATCAGACTTCAAGCCAACAAGCGCCATCAAAGCTACTGGCTTTTTTCAAGAACAAAATCCACTTTTGAGCATTGGTCCTCAAGACAGAGCACCTCAAAACATTAGGTGCTATGCTCATTACAGAATCAAACTGATCGTGTTGACTGAAAACTTCCTCAATGAAACTTTCAATCAACATGCTTAAAATAAGTCAAAAGTGTTCCAACCACTTGATTTCATACCAAGTTGATTTTATGTTTAGAAACACTAAAAAAAGGCGTTTCATTTATAAATACGGAAGGAACAAAACAGCACTGCATCAATCCAGTACCATTTATTCATGAAAATTTACTAAAACTCAGAAAAACAAGTTAGTGGTATTTGAACCAAGACCCACATTCTTCCTTCCCTCTTTCAGCTCAGTGAGGTGGAGACTCCATCCCCAAACACTACAGCTAAAATCACAGGGCTACTTCTCTCTCCTAATACCAGTCAGAGGGCTATTTTCCTGGAAGGAGTGGGGCATTGGCATTTCTCATCTTTCCCCTAGCTACCTGTTGCTGAGGCTAAGTTCTGGATGGATGTGGCCAAGAGGTAAGGATTCCCTTCTTCTGCCCAGCCCCCACTGTGCAACACAGGCTCTACCTTGGGGATGGTGTTGCTGAGAATACTGGGACCCCGATTGTGCTTGTCTTGGCTCATAACACTGGGGTTCCATGCCAAGTGAGGCAACCTAGTGCTGCCACCCTGCTCATCTACTGAGCGCTCAGCTTCTGAAGCAAGGATGTCACTCAGAGAAAAACACACGATTGTCCCTGCCCCCAGCACAAGAACCTGGCTCACATATTTTGTCTGAGGGAAGAAACAAGTCATAGAACAGAGGGCTCCAAATTTCATTTACAACAGAGTGTGAAGGAGTTCAAGCCTAAAGATGCTCTCAAAACAGTGGAAGTTATGGTGCAACGCAGTTTTGAGGAGATCCATTGAGTAATGGAGATATAGACGAAGCTGTAGGACAGCTAGATTGCTGAAGAAAAATGGAGAAAGAGACATCTTACCTTCCTGAGGTAAGAACAAATTGCAAACACCTGATCTCAGAACTTTCACTTCAAAGAAGCCTAAATCTGATTGGATTAGTATGTGAGGCAATTTATGCCCAGGGGCATTGTTGAAATAAAAGCAATCAGCTGGCAATTAATTGAGGTTATAATTATGTGTGGTCAAGGAAAGAGAGAAACAGTCAAAAAAAAAGCCTGTTCAAAACTGCTGTCATCCCAGGTGACTGTGGGCATACCCAAGACTGCAACCTTGAGGAACAACATCAGAGACTTCACATTGTAGAAGGGGTAAAATGAGAAGGGAAGGGGAGATAGGTTGTACTGAAATAATTCAGCCAGTCACTAAACAAGTAAACAAGCAAGCAATAATTCCTAGAAAGACTAGCACTCAAAGTTGCTATAGTATATTATGTAAAATGTCCAGTGTCTAATAAAAAAGATACATGCAAAGAAACAGTGAAATATGACCTATTCACTGGGGAAAAAAAAAAGAAAGGAACAGAAATTGCCTATGACAGTGATCATATGTCAGATTTAACAGACACAGATTTCAAAGTAGCAATTATAAATATGCTCAAAGCACTAAAGGAAACCATTATTAAAGGAATAAGAGGTAGATATGATGACCATTTTGCATCATATGGAGAATGTCAATAAATTGGATTTTTTTAAAAAGAACCAAATGGAAATTCTGGGGTTGATAAGTATAGTAACTGAAATGAAAATTTTATTAGAGGGAACCAACAGTAGATTTGAACTGGCAAAAGAAAGAAATAGCAAACTTAAAGACAGATTGGTAGAGGTTATACAGTCTGAAGAATAGCTGGGAAAAAATAAAGAAAAATGGGCAGAGCATCAGAGAAATATGAGACATCATTAAGCATACCAACATAAGTATAAAGGAACTACCAGAAGGAGAGGAGAGAAAAAGAAGCAGAAAAAATATTTTAAAAAATAATGACTAAAACACATTAATTTACACATCTAGAAAGTTCAATGAACTCAAGTAAGATAATCACACAGAGATCTACAAATTGATAGTAAAAATGCTGAAAGCTGAAGACAAGGAGAAAATCTTGAAAACAGCAAGAAAAAAAAGACACATCACTTAAAAAAAGAAACCCATATTTACTTGACAGCTGAGTTCTCAACAGAAACAATGGAGGCCAAAAGGTAGTAAGATAACATGCAAAATGTTCAAATAACCAAGAACCTGGTATCCAGCAAAGTAACCTTTCAAAAATGAAGGCAAAATAAAGATATTCCCAGATAAAAGACTTTAGGTTCAAAGATTAAAGTATATTGAAAATGAAAGGATAGAAAAATATCCTGAAATAGTAACCACAAGAAAGCTATAGTGCCTATACTAATATCAGACAAGACAGACTTTAAGACAAAAAATAAATGTTACTAGAGATAGAGAAAGAACATTTTGTACTGATAAAACAGTCAATCCAACAGGACAATATATACGAGCATATATATGAGCATATATGCACTTAATAACAAAACCAAAAAAAAAAACCACACACACACACACACAGAGCAAAAACTGACAGAAATGAAGGGAGAAATGGACCATAATAAAAGGAGACAATAATAAAGGGAGATTCAATGATAATCAGAGATTTAAGTGCCCCACTTTAAATAATAGATTTTTAAAAACTAGCCAGAAGATCAACAAGAAAATAGAAGACTTCAACAAAACAATAAACCAAATGGATCTAACAGACATCTGTACATAATTCCATCAAACAACAGCAGAATATAGATTCTTCTCAAGTGCTATGGAGCATTCTCCAGAATCAAATA